GCCACCTCTGATCATGTGCCCCTCCCGGGTGGCTCCATTTCCTTTGGTCTCAGCGGTTGGCGGGGGTGGGGGTGGGGTGCTTTGGGGAAGATGCTCCTGCTTTAGGAGTAGAGAAGCCTATAAAAATAAGACATGAGACAAAGGAGAAAAGTGGGAGGGAGAAACAAAAGGAAGGGGAAGTGGACAAAGAAGAAGAAAGGGCAGGAAAATAACAGAAGAAGAGCAGTGCATAAGGGGGAGGCCCAGAAGTGCCATCACACTGTTCAGGTCCCGGGGACCAAGGCTGGACATCGGGAATGGACCCGAGTCCCCTGGGGGAAGGGAGGGTGGCTGCGAGGTGGGCTGCAGAAGGCAAGCCCTGCAGGGACGGTGGCGTGTGGTGAATTTTGTGCTTACCTGCCAAGGATCTTGCTGACACAGCCATGGCTGACTCGGAGCTGGCGGGAGATGTCGCAGGGCCTCACGCCCTGGTGGGCCAGGTCCACGATGCGCTGACGCACCACTTCAGGCAGGGGTCTGCCGTTCACAAAGGCCCCTCCTAGCTGATTCAGCCCTCCGTGGCCTAAGAAGACAGTAGTCCCAGGAACAGCTGTCAGGGGCCAGGCAGGGCGGGTGGGTGGGAATTAGCCCGGGTGTGGGTGCTTGTGTGCATGAGAGACCGTGCACGTGAACTCTAACCATCGTGCCCTCGGGTTCTCCTGATGCAATGCCCCCTGTTTCCCATTGCAGAGGGAGGCCAGCTCCCATTGGGGGGTGGTGTATGATGCCACAGAGGGGCGCGCTGCAGTCTGGGCACCTCTTGGACCTGCGCAGGCTCCTCTGAGACCCTCAGCCCTCCTCTCTGAATGCCAACCCCACCACCTTCTTCCCTCCCTCTGAAAGGGGTTGGAGATGCAGAGTCTTCCTACTCTGACACCGAGCTGTGTGATGTTGGAGCAAGTCCCCTCTCCTCTCTGGCTCCCCGTTCCTTATCTATCAGATGAGGGCATTCAGTGGTCTTTACATTTGTCAGAGCCAGATTTTGTAAGCACAATTGCACTGAGAAACACAAACACAAATGAACCGAAGCAGAGCTTCTCTGCTTGAGCCAGGGCAGAGTGGGCCCAGGCCCTGTGTGTGGGCTCCTGGCCCGAGTGAGTGACCCCATGGTTTCTTCTTTATGGGCCAGAGGACTAACAGGACTGGCAGAGAACTCCCTGCCATCCATTCCCGGGGGCCCAGGACTATGTCAGGCTGCAGGCAGTTGTGCAGAACGTGGACAAGCCGTGGACGCGTGTGCATGTTCCTTAGCTGCCTTCCCGACTTGCCCTCTGCCCTCTGGCCCCAGCCTGTGTTTCATTCTGAGCCCTTCTACCTGTTCCAATGTATTTATTGAGTGCCTACTATGTGCCAGGCCCTGCAGATGCCCAGGTGAATAAGACAGATGTGATCTCTGTTCTTGTTTCACGGGGTTTACTAAAGTGAGGGCCCAGACCAACAAATAGCCAATTACCAGACCACGTGACCACTGCTGGGATGGGGCCCAAGTAGGGAGTTATGGGAACCACTGAAGGGGACCAAGCCCAGGCTTAGGGGACCATAGAAGGGTTCCTGGAGAAGTCTGAACTTTGACTGAACATAAAGAGGTGTTAGCCAAGTGAAGGAGTGAAGGGAGAAAACTGTTCCAGGCAGTGGGAACAGCACGTGAAAGGCTTAAAGGTAAGAAAGTGCTTGTCTATTAGACTTACCAACCTTCTCAACTCTCTAAAATCCCTAGACCAGCTTGGACTAATTCCAGGGCTGAAATATCCCTTTTGCTGATGAAGATACTGGGGCTTGGAGAGTTTCAGTGACCTGATTTATGACTTAGGTGACTCAGCCCATTTGAGGAGCAACCAGGCTCTAGCTAAAGATTAAGGCTCCCATCAGTGCTTCTTGGGTTGAGTCCTGCACTTGCGCTGAGTCCAGAACCGACCCTGGAAGCTTGGCATTGCCCCTGCGGGACTGCACTGAAGGTGCCATGGTCTGGGCATGAAGGAGATCTTTCCACACTGGGGCATGATTTGGTGATATGGCTGGGATGGTGGAGCTTGAGGGGTGGGCGTCAGGGGGAGCGAGCAGGCAAGGAGGAAGAGCCAGTGCCAAGCCTTCTGTGTGAGCCCGTTAAGGACTATTTACGGCCAAGGGTGGGAAGCGCCTCTCAGAGCACACAGTGCCCATTATCGCCCACTGACTTAGCACATTCAGAACTGCCTTGCAATGTCCCCTCAGGGGCCCAAGCTGGCTTCAGCAAAATAGTCAATTTCTCTTAAAAGAAAAAAAAAAAGAGGCTATAAGCCTCTGGTCTGGGCAATGTCAGGAGGAAAAAGCCTGCTGGCCAAATACCCAGCAGGAGGGACACAGTGATCCATCTCCCTGGTGGAGGCAACTGGGTGAGCTGGAGCACAATTTCCACCTGTGCTCTGCTAGGCAGCTTGTCCCAGCGAGTGCTTTCCCACCAGGGCTGGGAGGACATCCCAGATGACCCTCTCCTGAGCCCATGCGGCTAGCTTCTCATGGCTACAGGCCATTCTTGGAGAATGGCTTAGCCACTTGATCCTCATTCGTCCATCCTTATGGTCTTTTGGCTCGTTTGGGTCCAGACACTGAACACAAGGGGGCGCCAGACAGCCACCCAAACGCAGACAAGACCGTGAACTGTCCAGCTTTGTCCCCATTTTCCAGAACTTCGATCTGCCACGTCATCTACCAAGGTTCAGGTGTTTGGGGGTGGGGGCTAGAGCCTCTATATCTGGAAGCAAGTTTTCCTGAAGGTGGAGTTCTTCACCCCTAGAAAGGTAGAAGTTGAAAAAACCAAGCGCCATTTTGGGGGTGACCTGAATTGGATATGGTGCCTTAAAAAAAAATATATCAGCCCTATCTGTTTCTCTGTTGGAGCCGTATGGGCTATTGTCCTAAATCTTCCTGAAGGGCTGATCAGGATTCTTAGAGACCTAAGCCCTCAGGAACCCTCCTGAAGGCTTATTTATTGGATCATCCAGCATCAGTGTGAAATGGAAGGTGTTCTCATACCTCTGGCCCCTAAACTATAAATGCTCTGGTGCTTTATTTTATTTTAGTGGCTTCTGAGTGACTTTGTGTTGCTGTACAAGGAGCTTTGGGCCAGATTCTTGCATCGACTCTGTCTGTTTTTACTTTTATCATTTGAGAAAGTTTGTAGGTTTTTTTTTTTAGCACTACTGTTCTCATCCATTGAATGAAACTTCTTCCTGTGTCTCATGCTGACCCATAACAAGTGCTGTAAGAAGATGTGGAAATGAGGGTGTAGGAGTATTTGGTTTGATGGAAATCTTGATAGAAGTGTAATGTTTTTCTAATTTGTAATATTCACATGGTTGAATGTTATGTCCCAAGCTTGGACCTAGGACTGGGGCAGTGGTTCACACACTTGAGCTTGCATCAGAATCACTTTGGGAACTTTTAAAAACACAGGCTGATGAGCCCAGTGCCCTGAGTTTCTGAAGCAGGGGGTCGAGGATGGAACCATGAATTTGTTTCTACGAAGTTCCCAGATGCTGCCGATACTGCTTGTCTGGGACCACACGTTGCAAACCACTGGTTTAGGTTGGACAATGGCAGGGAAAGAAAACTGAGAGAAACTAAATATTTGTACATCTACCACCTCAGCCCTACCTTCTAAGAATAATAATTCATATTATTTGTATGTTAAAATTTTCATTTCTTTTTATCTCAACATGTACGTATGAAGTGCCTACCACGGCTCAGGTACAGAGCACTGAGGATGCCATCTTGAATAGGACAGGAAACCGGGCCCTCAAGGAACTTACAATCTTTGGGGGATGCAGTCACATAAATTGGGAATCACCATGGTGAGGGAGAAGTTTCTTGAAAAAGGTAAGTTCAGGTGTTAGGGGAGCCCATAAGTGGTCAGATGGAAGTTGCAGGGAGGAATGACCAGGAGGTAACCAGGTGAAGAAGTATCCACAGGAAAATAAGTCCACGCACAAGGTCTTGGCGCTCTCAAGGCACTGGAAGACATTTACTGTGGTGTAGGACAGGCAGGTAGCAGGGAGGTAACAGAAGATGGAGATGGCCCGTATGGTTTGAGGCGTTGAGCTGAGTCCCCATAATGGAAGGACTTTTGTCCTTCCTATGTCCGGTGTGGGGGAGTGGAGTCCTTTGGGTGAGTCACCACCAAATGCCCAGAGGTGGGTGCAGCCTTCCTTCCTGCACCGGGATGGGCTGGGCCGCCCACCGTGCTGACCACCTTTCCATGCAGCTGTGAATGAGGTGGGCTTTGAGGCCGGAAGCCGGGAATGAGTGGGAGCTCCTGGTTGGACTAGTGGGAAGGTGTGAACCCGAAAGAGGTTGGAAGCTTCCTAAGCAAAGGCCCTTTGCATGGTCTGGAGCGTCATGGGTGGGTATGGTAGAGGAAGACAAGACTGCTTGGCCGGACACAAGCAGGTTCTGAGTGCGGAGGCCCTCAGACAAGGGGATGCCGACTTTCCCAGGGCCACAGAAGGAAACTAAGGGGTTTCGACACTGAGGGGTTTTGATCCTTGCAAAACCCCAGATGAAGCCTGCTGTCCGGAAGTGTATACTATGGAAAAGTGCCATTCAGGAAGGCATTAGGATTTTCTTTGGTAATTTCTTCACTCCGTATAGAGCTCTAAGGAACAGGAATGGTAGGAGGAAAAGAGAGACGCTCATCGCTTAAAATTCTTGTTATGTGTACCAATCCCAGAACTTTAAGACACATGGAGAATTTTCCTGGGCCCATAGTCCTTTATACAAGTCTCTGTCATGTCACTGAGGGCACTGATAAGTCTCTTTATTTATATTCCAAAGGGCCCTCCTCAAGGCCAGGACCTTTGCTGTCTTTGTCTACCTGGCACCTGTCATAAAAGTCGAATTAATGCTTCAGTATATACATGAGACACGAAAAATGCTTTTCAAACGTGTGGGGCTGTTGTGATGGTCACATCGCACTGACTCTCCACTGTGGGATCTCTAAATGGCAGACTCCAATACTCTCCTCTTTCTTTCTGTCTCATTCCTCACGCCTCTGCCCGGTCCCAGAGCGACACTGGTGCAAGGTGTTGTTCTGGGAGAATTTCCATGTAACTCCCTGGGGATTTTTGCTTAATCTCCAAAGGGTGTCAAGGTGGAAGTTTGACCCTTGGTAGGACTATAGCGGGAGGGGCTTGTGGCTGCCTTGGGATGTCCTTTAGATCAAGCATGCCTACTCCCCTTCCACGGAGGAACAGCCTTGCCGATGCTAACTGGGCTCTGCCATACTTAGCCCGGTGGTGGTGTCCCTCCCCAGCACGCTCGCCGGGCCTGTGGTCACCCACTGCAACCTCCCAGCTGCTCCCCTTGGCCTGGTGCCTTTCTGGAATAAAGGCCAGGGCCTCAAACCATTCCTAAAGGAAGTGTTCCAGGACCACAGAAACCTAGCGTTCCAACCTCTTGTTCCATCTTGCACCCCAAGTCTGCACATCGGATTGCACTGGCATCCATGGTTATGGGTTCCCTGGGCACATTAGGACTTAGACTAGCACAAAAGGGGTGGGCATGCTGAGAGACAGCCTTCCGCATCTGGCTTTAGCCCCGTCTTGCTGCATGGCCTTCATGCCTGTGCCTTGCACTTCTCTCCCCAAGGCTAACTGACTGGGGCAGAGACAGTAGCTAGGTAAAGCTATTGCTTCTACTTCTCATTCATTTCGCATTGATGCCTTGCCCTTCTACCCGTTCTGGAACCCTACTCCATAAATTAGCCTCACATTTCTTTTTTTTTTTTTTTTTAAGTTTATTTATTTTGAGAGACGGGGGGGAGGGGCAGAGAGAGAGGGAGAGAGAGAATCCCAAGCAGGCTCCGCGCTGTCAGCGCAGAGCCCGATGTGAGACTCGAACTCGCAAACCACGAGATCATGACCTGAGCCGAAGTCGAGTTGGATGGTTAACCGACTGAGCCACCCAGGCGCCCCTCCTCACTTTTCTTTTGTGTTACTTACCTCTCCCTTTCTACTAGGTCTTTCCCTGGACCTACAAACTCAATCACATTCTTCTATGCCGCTTCCCCAACCCCTCCCCGTCCTCCCAATATTCCCCCCGTTGACTATGAAATGTTTTCTGATGATTGTTTTCAACCGGACTTCTCGAGAAGTAGTCATACTTGCTGTTCCTATCTCTTTCATTTCCTTCCTTGCTATTCGGTGGTCAACTCACTGTGTGCCTCCAGCTTAGCGTGTGCTCAAACTTGGTACTGGATGGATGGCGAGTGGTTCCGTGCTAGGTTCTCCCCCTTAAAGAAGTTTCTGTGACAGTGCTGTCTCCTGGTTTCTCATACCTTCAGACCTGCTTTTGTTTCTCTTGACTGGGCTCTCTTCTCTCATTTGTTCTATTATATATGTATATATGTATATATTTTTTTTTTCAGGATTTTCTCAAACCCCAGTGCGGCACCCACTTTACACCGTCATCCTTGGTGATCACACGCCCACTCTCATTGTACCCATGTACTGATGGCCCCATGGGCACCCCTGGGATCTCCAGCCCAGAACTTTCCCCTTCCTTTTATATCCAGTTTCCTACTGGAAATCTCCTGTTGGGTGATAAAGAGCATCCTCTCTAGTGTTGTCTTAGTCAGTAAAAGCACCAGCTGCCACGCAAGCACAGAGCCTGCCTTTGGCTTCGTCTCCCACCACCCTCAACCACAATGTGCACCGTGCCCTCCCTCATTGGCTTCCGTGTGACCTTAGAGCTACCAGTGCGTCCTTCTGCCTTGGGGCTTTTGCACACACGGTTCCCTCTGCCTGAGGGAACCTCTTCCCCTCTTATCTGGTTAATTCCTGCCCATCCTGTATAGGTTAGCACAAAGTCACTTCATCCAGGTGGCTTTGCTTTACCCTGCAGAGTAGGTTAGGGCCTGTGGTTAGACACCGTCCATGACATCGGTTATCTTTCTTGCAATGCAGTCATTCAAATTTTAATTTCACATTCATTTGCATGATTATATACAGGAGTAGTGACTGTCTTCTCCCACCAGATCGAAAGCTCCATGAGGGCGGGACCGTGTCTGTTTTGTTCATTATTAAATGGTATTAGGTGTTCAATTAATATGTGCCACATGAAAGAACTAATGGTCTTTAGTTTCTTCCCTTCTGCTCATAGGGAGGACTCACTCAGCCACGACATTTTTACCTCTTAAATATTTACCTAACCAGTACCTTCTTAGCCATCCCCAGTGTTCACACATCCAAATATTCATTTATCCATTCAACGTGTATTCATTGAGTACCTACCACATGCCAGGCACTTTACTGGGACTGATCATATAGAATTGATGCCTGATCTCATGGAGCCCCTAGTCTCGAAATAGGTAGATATTTAAAAAGTAAACGCACAAACAAATGGATAATTCTTGCTAGGATAGTGCTAAGAAGGACACAAGAGGGTACAGTATTAAAGAATAAGGGGGTGGAGGGTGAGACATAGAATTAGTTCCAGGTGACCAAAGACAATCTCTCTAAGTGATGTATAATCTGAGACAAAGGTAGGGGTTAACTAGTCCCCTGGACTCACTGGTCTTTGCTCTCAGTATGCACACATGGCCTTTTGTGGGGAGCAACCCATCTAAAACCTGAGTCTGACCATGTGCCCCCCAGTATTGAAGAAACCCGCTGGGGTGTGGTCCCATCTCCTATGGGTGACGTCTAAGCTACTAAATCTGGAGGACAAGGTCCATGTGAGCTGACCCTGGCTCACCTCTCCTCTCCAGCCTCGATTCCTACCTGCCTGAGCCTTATTTCTGATGACCCAGCAGTGCGGAATTGCGTGCTGTTCTTTCATAGCATCCAAATCCTCCCCTGTGTCCTTGTTTGTGCCGTCCTCCATGCCTGGAGTGGCCTTTCCTAACCGTCTCCTGATTGATTTGTACACATACCTTGAGTCACTTCAGGAAGCTACCTCCTCCAGGAAGTCTCCCTGCCTTTCCTGCCTGTTGTCTCTGGTCCTTCCTTTTTTTTTTTTTTTAAACATTTTTTTTAACGTTTATTTATTTTTGAGACAGAGAGAGACAGCGCATGAACGGGGGAGGGTCAGAGAGAGGGAGACACAGAATCTGAAACAGGCTCCAGGCTCTGAGCTGTCAGCACAGACCCGATGCGGGGCTCGAACTCACGGACCGCGAGATCATGACCTGAGCCAAAGTCGGACGCTTAGCTGACTGAGCCACCCAGGCACCCCTGGTCCTTCCTTTTAAACATGTCAGGACATAGTCTCTACCACTACACGTGGCAGAATATGCATCTATTTATACTGGCTGTGTCCTGCTACATAGACTGTGCCCCATGAGGGATGATTTTTTTATATCTCTGAAGCACTAATATCTAGTATAATGCTTGGTGCACAGTGGGCACTCAATAAATGCTGGCTAATTATTGGAAGAAAGGAAGGAAAGAGGGAGGGAAAGAAGAAACAAAGGAAAGAGAGGGAAGAAGGAAGGAAGGAAGGAAAGAAAGAAGGAGGGGAGAGAGAGATGAAAGGAAGGAGGGTGGAAGGGAGGAAGGGAAGGAAGGAAGGAAGGGAGGGAAGGACAGAGGGACAGAGGGACAGGAAGGAAAGTAAACAGGCCCCAAACAAGCTTAGTGAAGCCCACACATTCTTTGCGCTAAGCAGAATTCTGTCTTGCAAAGTCATATTCTCTTAGACACGAGCTATTTTAAAAGGGGTCCAGATATCACAGTCCAGGAAAAGAGAAATTTGCCCTCCTGTAGGAGCCATGGGATGAACACAGAGGCCTTCCTTTACATCAAGCCTTTGACGTCAGCATGAAATGTGTGGGCACTTGTCATGGCTCACTTACAGCCTATTTGGTCTGCAGGGGCTCCCTGTCACTCCCATGGGAGACTGTCACCAAGGCGGCAGGCTCCAAGGTGAGAAGCCTTTTCCTTCTAACCCCGGGCCTTGGAGGGCCTATGGAGAAAGATGCGGGGACACCTACACAGAGTGACCCTCACGGGGTTTACGGCTCTCGTGGGGAGACTAAAGTGCGCACCGAGGGAAGGTGCCACAAGAGAGAGCTCGGGCTAGGGATGACCGCTGTGTCTTGTCAACAGCTACCCCTCCTGGGACCTGGACACCCCAGAGTCAGAGGCACACTTGAGGAGAAGTTTCTGGCTCAGAGCTGCTGGGCAGTGACGCCCTTTTACGTCTAACAGGATCCAGTTGTTAAAAAAGAAACTGGTGGGGCGCCTGGGTGGCTCAGTCGGTTGAGCGTCCGACTTCAGCTCAGGTCACGATCTCGCGGTGCATGAGTTCGAGCCCCATGTCGGGCTCTGGGCTGATGGCTCAGAGCCTGGAGCCTGCTTCCGATTCTGTGTCTCCCTCTCTCTCTGCCCCTCCCCCGTTCATGCTTTGTCTCTCTCTGTCTCAAAAATAAATAAACGTTAAAAAAAAAAAAAAAAAAGAAAGAAAGAAACTGGTGTCCCAGGTCTCAGTGCCAAGAAGCTCAGTACTGTGCTCTGTGTTCAAGGCCAAGGACACGACCAAGCCAGTCCTGGAATCCTGTTTCCTCAGACCTCTCTGACATTAAGTAGCATTATCAGTCAGTGTCTCGTCAGAAGACCTGTCCTTAGGTATTTCCGCAGAGATGCTTCAATGTAGGAGCTTGCTTATCTGGCTGCTGGAGGGCTGTAAACAGAGCACAAAGAAACACTGAGGTAACCCTGAGGTGGTAACTGCAGAAAGGAGGCACTGCTCCTAGGGGAAAGAAAGGGAAGAGGCCTATTCTGGCCTGGTCATTATCTTGCTCTTGGAAGTTTCTGGAATGCCCTAAGGGACAGGCAATAATCCCAGCTCTGGCTTCCCCCACTACTGGAGCCCCTGCTGAGATGGTTATTCATAGATTCTTGGGCTTGTCCATGTTGATTTATTCTCCTGGTCCATTGGGCTCTGTCCCTCTTGTGCCTCTGTGCACTTTAACGAAGCCCAAGAGGTCTCCAGGTTGGGAGGCCATGAGGACAAGCTCCAGCTCCCAGCTTCTCTCATCCCGTCATTCTGGTAAATTTGAGGGTCCCCGCAGGCCCTTAGGAACAATGGGATAAGAAGTTTGGCTCCCTTAGAAGCTCTGCCTTAGATCAGCCCAGAGGGTGGGAGGGTTTAGCACTATTCTTTCCTCCTCAACAGGGAGAGAGGGCTGGGAGGGGCAGAGGGAGGGAGACAAAGGGTGGGGAAAGAGGTCTCCCCTGGATTAGTCTCCAGCTGGGAAAGAGACAAATTTGGTATCTTGCCAGTGTTGGACTTAAAGAAGAGGAAAGAGGGGAAGGAGGAAGGAAGCAAGGGCTATTTTCAGGATTCAACCTCCTTCCCCCATTAGTCAATGCTTAGGAATAATACTAAGAGCCCATCTGCAGGAGGTACTTACTCTAAGTGCATCTTTTCATTAGTTCCCATGACAACCTTTGAGGTAGGTAGCACATTGTCCCCATTCTACAGATGAGGAGATGAGGAGCAGAGGCCCTGTGGAACTTGCCTAAGGCTGCATCATTACAAAGGGGCAGAACTGAGACTCGGGCATAGGGCCTCCAGGTGCCGCTCGGCCCATCCACCCCCGGCCCCGCCCCTGGCAGCACGGGGTGGTTCCAGAACAGTCAGCCCCTTCTCTAAGAGCCACAGTGTCTTCACATCACCTACCAAATAGGGGTACGTTCCAAAACCCACTTCAGGATCCTTCTCAGGTTTTCATTTCGTTGAGGCCCTAATCTTTCCTTTTTTATAATTTTCTTTAGTCATAAATTTGGTTCTTTTTTTAAAAAAAATTTTTTTTAAGTTTATTTATTTATTTTGAGAGAGACAGGGACAGCATGAGTGGGGGAGGTGAAGAGAGAGAGGAGAGAGAGAGAGAGAGAGGGAGGGAGAATCCCAAGCAGGTTCCACACTGCCAGTACGGAGCCCCACGCGGGGCTTGAACCCATGAAACCATGAGATCGTGACCTGAGCCGAAACCAAGAGTGGGAGGTTTAACCGACTGAGCCACCCAGGGGCCCCTAACCTAATTCAGTTCTATTTCCCCGTACTCTTCATGTTAATCCTGCACTCTATTTCCATGCTTCGCCACTGCCTTTGTGCCCAGTCTTTCCTGCTCTGGGTTTGGTCCTTCCGCCCTCTCTTTTGATTGCCTTCCTTTCCTTTATTTCCAGCCCTTGCTGACTGCCCCTGCGCCTCCCATTCTCGCTTCCTCCCAGCCCTTTCCCTGCCCCAGTCCCTTGGTCCCGTCAAAGATGACAGAGCCCTCCCACCGCCTCTCCCCTGCCCATTCACCCTGAGTGTTCCCTTCTTTCTGCCTCTGCGCTCCTTTGGCCGACCCCCTCCCTGCATCATCTTTATTGCCTGCATGACTGCTCAGGTTCTTTATCCCATCTTCCCCTCAAAGGCATTCGCAGCTCGGCTGTTATTCTTGTATTAGCATTGAACCCATTAAAGCTAATTTGTTTGCCCTAATCTCCATTTATTTTTCCCTAGTTGATATTAGATTTCCCTTTCTATTGCTCCAGCATGATTTTCTCTTTGTCTTCCTAATGGTCTACCCCCCTCTCTCTTCCTCTATTAATCTGGTTGGCTTCACCGTGTGTTTCAAGGCCTTTCTCCGCCTCCCCCAGCCCTTAGATTAACCCTGTCACCTCCCTCCCAGGAAGGGCCCCAGTGCATGGATTTCTGGACGATGGAGCTGCTGTAAATGTCAATAGACCCTTAAGCTTCCTAAGAAAAGTCCCACTTGACGTGAGGCCCTGCCCTGTCCTGAAGGCAGTCAGGATGCCTGGAACTCAGGGGCTGGGGAGCTGGAGGCACGTGGGAAAACACGGGCTATTCTGAAGGGTCGCCAAACCCGAGGCTTCCCTGGCTAGGCTCCCCGCTGGGGCTGTCTCAGAGATTCCTGGAAGCCTCTGCAAGCTTTCTCAGATCCACACATTACATCGGTAAGCCACACAGTGGATGGGCCACTTTGTCGCTGTGATTAAGGCTGGGTACCATTTCTCCTCCTTCCTTGGTTCTCCAACTAGAGGCACGCTGCCTCCTCTCCCAGAAGAGGTGAAGCCTCCTCTCTGAGGATGTGAATTTGGGGTGGCTAATCTTCACCTTGCACTCACGTTCCCCCAGATAGAAGCCTTCCTGGACCAGCTGTCAGGGACAGCTGTCAGGGACCTCCACTATCCCCTATCTTCCCCCATCCCCGACTGCCCCTATCCATGGCCCCTTATCTGAATCTCATTAGGCCTCTCTCGGGGTCGATGCTTTGTCTGCATAGCTAGATGCCTAGCTCCTTGAAGGCAGGTGCAGTGTCCTATCTGGCCATGTAAGCTTGCCTTGTAGGGGGACAGCCATGCTCCCACCCGTTTGCATGTTGGAATCACCTAGGGCATTTGCAAACTTTCTACTTCTGGTCAGTTCAACCAGACTCTCTTGCCATGGTGTCCCTACATCTGTATTTTAAAAAGTTCCTCTGGTGATTGCCCAGAGTTTATATCCACTCATTAGATGCTCAATACATGCTTATTGAAAGCATTAATTAATTGATTAAACATAAAGTTCTGGTCAGAGGCTTCAGTGGACCTCCAGTGCTGGCTGGAGGTTGATTAGAGGTCATTCTTCTCGGCCCTTCTCACTGAGTTTAGATGTCTCCAGACTCTCCGGAAGTGACACACCAGGGGCTATAGGAGAAAGGTCTCGGGCCTCTGCATCTGGGGGGGGGGGGGCAGGGAGACCTGAGAGGTGACAATGCCAGCACGCCCTGGACATGTACTTAGAAGCCCAGCAGCCACACAAATCACTGTGCCCCACCTTTCTATCACCCTCCCTGGGGTCAGAGGCCTGGGGATATTAATGTTGTTTTTTAA